AAATAAACAAACAAAAAATGTGCGCGCATGCCTGGTTGGTTCGTCATAATGTTGTATTTTTCTGGGCTCCCACTCAGAGAAAACAGGCATAGTCCTTGAGTCCTTAGAGTCACTACTGTAGTATGCATTCAAGCTTTGTGCCGAGGGTTGTGTCACCTCGATTCCTCCTAAGCAGTACGCATGCAGAGGTGAGAAGCTGGGATCGCTGCAGCTGATGGCGGCTTGAACGTGTAGTAGCAAGAAAGCACAACCCTCCAGACAGCCTCAGCGCGAAAGAATCAAACGGCGCCCCGTGTGCGAGTTTGAAGGCATTGGATGCTCCAGCCCAACTTTGGCCACACTGGCATGTTTTCCGCAAGCAGGGGTTGTGTCGGAACCTCAGTAGAAGCTTTGGCAAGCACTCGGGCTTTGAAAGTGTCTCGCAGCTACCAGCGCTGGAGCAGGGCCTCATACACTGCGTGAAATGCGCGAAAGCCTAAGCCCTGTGCCCTAAACTGAAAAGCTTCGACCGCTGGGCTGATTCCAAGTCCGTTCTGGAGCTCCGGAGGATGGCGTCCTTTGCCTGTCTGTCAGCCGGATCAACCACTCCTGCTGGCCAAACTGCACCTTGAAGAACAGCTATGGAGACTCACTAGGTTGGGGTCACGTCGCTGGCGTTACCAAAACTCTTTCGGATCGCGAGGGACTTTCTGTAGCAGTACCAGTGAGGGCGGATGGGCTCGTAGCTATCATCGGAACAGAGGCCGAGCCCCGCGAGTCTCGACAGAATACTTGAAATAAAGCACTTGTGCCTCGAAGGGCCAATGCCAGGCAAGGAAAAAATGGTAAGAGGTCTTCCGCGAAAATATGGGTGTTCATGGCCGGGCTTATGCCAGATGCTGCTAAGTGTACAAGCTGAGGCGAGCAGTTCTGGGATGAGCAACTGTTCCGTGAGAAGATCTTCGCATGCAAGGACAATATGCTGTCTCAAGGTGTGGGTGGGTTAGGTTATGCGACGTGAAAGGATAATTCGGAGACCCTCTCCTTCGCAAGATCAAGGGTTGCATGAGAACCGGCAATAGCCCGAGATCCCACACGCCTGAGGATTTTCCAACCATGTGGGACCCTCGGAAAAGCCCGAAGCTGACAAGCACTGCATCACATTCAGAATTGCTTTTCGTGCTCGAGCAGGGGTAGTCCATGTTCTCAGGGATTGCAACGCATGTCTTTTCATGTGCGGGTTTCGCATTGCGTCAGGACATCCAAAAGGGTGAGGAGCATCTCGGCTTCTGGCTCTGCGGTTGCGCGGGTTCTTGTTTCGGCCCTTATTCCTTATTGATGCTGTTTGCACTATTTTGCACTATTTGCCCCTTCGCCCAGCCTTTCCATCTGCAGGCTTTGTATATCCTATGTGGAGCCGTACCTCCTCGCCGAGACTTTGTCTTTCCGAGTCTGTTGGGAAGCAGGCATGGAGACTTCGGAGGTTGAGCTACTAAGTCGGAGTTCTATGGATTCAATGAAGTCAAGAGCCTGCTAGATGCCATGCTGTGACATGTTCCCGCCTGTCGAGCAAGCACAAAGCGGTTTTACCAAGGAGGAGCGAGACGAAATTTTCCGGCGCAGAGCCTGTGCCGGTGGGTCATTTCTGGAGGTTGTCCTGGGTTCTTGTGGCAAAACATGAAACATGCATACATCTCTGATGCGGTTGTGTACTCGCGTTGCTTGGGCGCTTGACATCAAGAGCAAAAAGCCTTGTGAGACCCGTGCTTATGTTGGCAGTTATTTTGGAACCCTTTGGAAGACCTGGTGCCTCTTCGTCGTATGGCGACTGTACCTCCTTCAGTGTTTTGCTGAATCGCCCGAAGATGTTTTTGGAAATAATCCAGAAGCTACATGTATCTACAAGTTGCAGCGGTCGAGCAGTTTTCCGAACTACGGATGGCTCCAAAGACCCAAAAATGAGGCCGTTCTGCTTCGCCAAGGTGTGTATTATGCAAATGTGTACATATACGTATATCTATGCATGCATGCATACATACACACACACATATATATACATATATATATATATACCAGCGTACATATGCAATATATATATATATATGTATGTATGTATGTATGTATGTATGTATGTATGAACGTATGTATATGTGTGTATATATACACATCTGTGTGTATGTACCTATGTATGTATGCATGCATGCATGCATGCATGTATGCATGTATGTATGTGTATATGCGTATGTGTGAATGTATGTATGTATGCATGCATGCATGCATGTATGTATGTATGTATGTATGTGTGTGTATGTATATATGTATGGATGGACGTGTGTATGTATGTCGTGTCTATGTATGTCTGTCTGCCTGCCTGCCTGTCTGTCTGTCTGTCTGTCTGTCTGTCTTTCTGTCTGTCTGTCTATCTGTCTGTCGGTCTGTCTGTCTGTCTGCATGTATGTATGTATGTATGTATGTAGGTATGTATATATGTATGTATATATGTATGTACATACATACATACATACAGACAGACAGACAGACAGACAGACAGACCGACAGACAGACATACATAGGCACGAATGCAATGCATGGAAGTACAATGGGGCACGCAAACAGATGTATATGATCTGTATATGTCTGTGTATATGTCTGTGTATATGTATATGTTTGTGTGTATGTGTGTTTGGGATTGTGTGTGTGTGTGTAAGATTTATGTATGTGCATGCAAATTGCATGCATATATGTACAACGAATTCTGTATATGCCGGCCTTGAGCAAACCAGCAGCTCTAGTCGGGGCAGAGGTCGAGTCCCTTGCCAAAAGGTTAGATGCAATTGCTTGGGAGTGCGAGCGAGCAGCCCAGGATATGCCTTTGAATGCGCTCGCTCAGCCCCGAACCGGGAGGCAGCTGCAAGGAGAGCGTTCTGTAGTGTAGCCCTCTGCATTTGTCATTTAACTCTTGGCGAAGTCTATCTCCGGGCGCTGGTCGCATTGGTTCGGCCGCCTTGTGTCGGGGTTGTTCATGGTGGCTGTGATCGTCAGTACAGTGTTTCTCCGTCGACTCGCCCACCTATTATTGTTGTCTGTGTTACTCCGCCGAATTACTTAGGGTGCACACGCCTCAACACAGACTGCGAATGCAAGTGTCGGTAGTAAGTGTCAGTTTGCGGTATATCTGCGACTCTTTGCCAGAGAATGGTTGTGAATATGATGGTACTGACGACCGTCACGACTCCTGTCATGCTTCTGGTTGTGATGGTTCGTAAGTGCCAGCCCGGCAGCTGTGATATGGCTGCTGCTATTGCTGCTGTTGTTGAGACTGCGGTTCCTAAACTCCGAACCCGAATCCCTGTTGCGCAGCTTGCATGCGTGGTATTTCGTTCGTCCCGGGAACTTGTCTGACACTCTCGCATCACGAGCTACGAGCCCACAGGCAGCTCTGGTCATCTCAACGACCGCCTCACGAAAGCGGGCATGGTCGATTTCATGCAGCGATTTTAACGGGGATTAGCAGGTTGCAGGTGCACGGACACAGTGATGGCTCGGATTCACTTGATACATTTGCTGCCTCCCCTCTGGTAAATGCTCAGTTGCTCCTTCTCCTTCTGTTGCTCCTCCTCCTCCTCCTCCCCCTGCAGCTGCTGCGATTGCTGCTGCGTGCTACCACCGACGACGGCTCCAACTATTGCCACTAGTAGCTACTAGCGCACATGCTGGATTCGTTTTCACCCTGACGGATCCTGACGGAACTCGTGGATTCGTGCCTCGCCTGCTCATTGCGTGTTGCAGGCCAGTGATCGGCGCAGGAAGCGTTTGGGCGAGGCCATGGCCTTTTTGTTGTAGGGGTAAGAACAACCACTTGGTAATGGTATTTCCTGACACCAGTCCCATTCAGTGCAATAGTTCGACCCCATGAATTATGGCTCTCTTGGAGTCAACAGAAGGGCACGGCGATTTCTCTTCATCCTTATCATAGATTGCGCATGCAGCATTCGAAACTGGACAGAGCCGGCACAGAAGCAGAACACTTGACAGAACTAGTTCCCAACCTCACCAGCATCTCCTGCACAATCATCATCGTAATCATCATCAGCAGCGTCGTCGCCACCTTCACCCTCGGGGGGTGTCCTCGGCGTCACAGAAGTACCACCACCGACACCACCACGACGACGACCGCTGCCAACAAGATAAGGAGCACAAAAGAGAGCAGTGAGAAATGACAGTGAGGACATCATCGCATTCATACCATTGCAGTGCAATCATGGCAGTGTGCAGCTCGCAGAGGGAAATTTCATGAAGTTGACAAGATGACGAGTGCTAGTCATTGCTAGCTAGATCAAGACTATCAACACAGTATCTTTGCTATCAGGAGGGGGGCTAGTGTTGCTCGGATTATTGCTAAGACTTGTGCGGAACATTGACTAGTATTGGTACGCCGACTAGTGCGGCATGGCATTGGTAGAGATGTTGTTAAAAGATTTTTGCAAAGTCAGCGCTGCACTCTGGCCTGGAGTTGTCCGAATGTAAGCGTCAAAAAACAAACCGCAATCCTCAGACTCTCAATTCCGGGTTTGCTTGCGGTTTTTGCGTCGGTCGAACTTGCCGCATGGATGGGCTGGGTTTCAAGTTTAAAGCTGGCCAGGCACTTGCAGAACTTGGCCGCGGCCTGGAGCCCAGGTTGCACAGGGCTGAAACATTCAGTTGAAATGAAGTGCGTTCCTGTGGAGGGCGGTCTTGAACTGCCGCCACAAGGACTAATCTCACTGGCAAGTTGAACACATGATTCCAGAAGCTGCAGGTGTCAGCCCGGATGCAGATGCGGGGGTGGCGCTCGCGGAGGTGGAGTCCAGTTGTCGTTTGACGTTGAGCCTCAGTGTTTGTGTGGGCAGGGGTGTATAGAGTGTATAGCTGATCGTCCACACAATATCACCTTGTCTCGGATGTTGGCTCGGGATGTGGATGGTTTTGTTTTAGGGCCTCAAGGATGCTTCGGCGCAGAGGCTGCAGCGACGCTGTAGGACATGCAGCGACCTCGTGGAGATCTAGTGGCGGTAAATGCCCTCTGGATGGTAGGCCATGTTCAGAGCGTGCTGGCCTGCGAGATTCGTTTGCAAAGCTTGAACCTCGAGGATTTCATGGCCCCGCGCCATGAGGTGCACCCAGACATCTTCACTCTCTCCGGAACTTGGCCGGGTGGACCCCTGGGCCCATTGGTGGCCTTTCGCACTGATGATCGGCCTGGTGCACCCGAGGCAGAGGGGCTCCAACGTGCCCGATCTGTGCAATTGGCCTCTGTGGCTACTCCCCTGGCATGTTCGATTCAGAGATCACTTCCTGACCCTCCGACCGGTCTCACCGGTCTCTGGGATCACGGCTTGAAGCGATGTCCTATTGCTGAGGCCGCATTTTTGGAGTGGTGGAGTCTGATGGAAAGCAAGAGCAAGGCGACAGTGATGGCACGCAATGTGCAGCTGCAAGAATCCTTCGGACACGCGAAGGCAGAAGCGGATGGGAGCCGCGTTAGCAGCGTCCTGCTTTGCTGCATAGCTGGTCTTCTGGTGCTTTCCAAAGCGGAATCCCGTCTGCCGTCTGTTGACGGAAAGAAGTCTGGCGATTGGCTTCCAAGTTGCCTAGCAGAGCTGCTAAGCACTGCAAACTCCTGCTGGGAAGCTCTGGACCTGCAGCATGCTAGCACTAGGCGAACATTGCTTGTTGCGAAACCTTTGTGTCAGCACCTAGTGGTGCAAGGCACAGGTGACGAGTGGCAAAAGTTCGCGGACTTCGTGGACGAGTGTTTCTCTCGGAAAGCCGAGATGTCACCCAATGCTCTGCGGTCGGTTGTCCGGAAGCCATGTGATGTTGCTGGCTGTAGTTGTGTTGCTGTGTGCAGGGTTCGCAAACATGATGCTTATGGGCCTGCGGGCTTTCGCTGTTACCGCCACAAGACTGCTCTTCAGTCACGAGTGCGGAGGCAATGTGACGTTGCCGGCTGCACTTCCGTTGCTGTACGCAGGGTGTGCAAACATGACGCTCACGGTCCTGCCGGCCTCCGCTGTGACCACCACAGAAAGAGGCTGCAAGGTGTGAGAAGGCGGTGCGAAGTCGCCGGCTGTACTTCCAAAGCTGCTCGCTTAGTATTGAGAGACGACGTTCACGGCCCCGCGGGCTTTCGCTGCGAAGTCCACGGCGGACGGCCTACTTGCACCGTGCCTGGATGCAAGCGGTCCTCCAGTGGTATCGTGTGCAAGGCGGATCACTTGGGTCCGAGTGGGCTGCGGTGCAAAGCGCATGGAGCCCAGCGCTGCACGATCACCGGCTGCCATCGGCAGGCTAAGTGCAACTCGCCGGAGGACCTCCTGGGGCCTGCGGGGCGGCGATGCCCTCAACACAGTGCTGTTTGGCCCAAAGTTGCTCGGCTTGCTGTTTGAGGGGTGTGAACTTCGCTTCCCTAAAGTCGAGCGTTTGGGGGTTCTTGTTGAGGTGCCGGTTCACCAGCAACTCATCTTGGGTGAGTTGGCTTGCCAGCGTTACGATCCTCGAGTCGAAACATCCTCGGATGTAGATCACATCATCCAGTATACCACCTCGCTTGTGGGCATCGTTCTCAGCCATGCGAGAGGGAAAAAACATCATCCAGTAAATTCGGTTCCGGACAGGAGAGAGCTGAGACAAACAAGGAGTTCAAGCAGAACGGACATCCGAAGAAAGTGTGGTGTAAAGTGGACATTAGGGCGGCGCTTTGCTAAAGACCTCGAGTAGACGAGAAAAGTGCCAAGCATTCCGGAACAACCTGGCAGAGTGGGAACTGTCTATGCGCAGATGCTCTCGGCAGCACCACAGACTATGACAAATGAGTTGGAATGAGGCATATTAGAAAGCCACACTGCTGAAATCACCAAACGGAGTCTTCGTTGAATCGGCATGTCGTGCAGCTCAAGTGAGCATTACTTGCAGGTAGCCCGTGCGATCCCGAACTCAGCAACAAAATCAGAGAGCAGCTCCCGCCGCGTGACTTTGCAAACAGATACTTTCGGATCTTTCGGACAGTGCGTCTTCTCCGCGACCAATATTCCAGCAACTTCCCGCAGGCAGAAAACGCTTATGTAGTCGGAGGCTTGGCCCAATTGAAGTCTTGGACATCAGCGGCAGGCTGCTGCAACCAAGGATGCAATCAAGAATACACCCACAGTCACCAGCCCAATCAACGAAAGCCTAACGCAGTCACAGTTAATAGCAAGTTGATTTGAAACAGACTTTGACGGAGCATTAGGCACCGCTCAGACATTGACGACTTATCGTTCCAATTGCTGCCACAGCCTTCATGGACTGTGGAGCATCAAGCACTTGACCACCACAGTTATCAACGGAATGTATCTCCTGCACGTCTTCTGGGAGCTTACCATGGATAAACCGCAAAAGGCTGCTCACCCTGACGATTGGCGTCATTGAATCCTTGCGAAGCCGGGGGTGGACGTGGCAATATTCCCGACACTGGGTCCAAGCTTGACAACGTAACCTGCTCACAGTAGAAGCCCTGGCGCCGACGGCGACTTGTTGAGCCAGGCCCACGTCAGATGTGTCGGAAAGGGCCAAATATGGGGTTCTAAAGAGACAGACAGACAGAGAGACACACACACACACAACACACACACACACAACACACACACACACACAACACACACACACAACACACAGACACACACACACACACAACACACACACACAACACACACACACAACACACACACACACACAACACACACACACAACACGCACACACACAGCACACACACACACAACACACACACACACATATACACATACACACACACACATACACACACACACACATACATATACACACACACACACACCCACACCCACACCCACACCCACACCCACACCCACACCCACACCCACACCCACAACCACACCCACAC